TACAGCGTGAGAATTCGATGTATAGCAGGCAGCGTTATGTCAAATTTACGGGACAACAGGGACACCGAGTTCTGCCATCAGAAATGGCAATTCCAGTCTCACTCGTCGTTCTCATTTATTCAGCATAACTACATGTCCCCATGCGACTACTCGCGGAGGCAGTGTATTGGAGCTGCAAGAAAACGGATTGAGCATTTGCCCAGTGAAAAGCTGCCTCCACAACTGGAGAAAACATGCAACTGTTCCGGAGGACGAAATCTCACAGCATTAGGTAGATTCGAGAAAAAGTGCTTAACGTACAATGTATGGGAATTCCGGTTAGATTGCTCCTTTCAAAAACGTACTTATCAGTCTCGAAGTGACTGTGTGTACTCAGAAACCAGGGTGCATAATCGCATGTTAAATGTTTAAAGTCATAAATGTGTCTACTATATGTTAATAAGTAGACGATTAAGAGTGAAATGTCCACATTCTGCCTATTGGCGAGCAGTCTGCTTGCCCGTAGGTCGTAAAATGGATCCAAACGGCACATACGACAGCATTGGCCGCTGGACTCAGGCATGGATACCTGCTATTGGCTGATTGAGTGGATGACGCGCGCGTGTCTGCAGCCGTCTGGGCCGGTCACTGCCGTTTGTCCGATGGGGAACGGCAAGAAGCCGTGGCCATTGTATCGAAGTTGAAGTTGCTCCGTTGTGTGTTTTAAGAGCCAGTATAAATAATGTGCTTGTCATGGACTCTTTTGACTTTCCACTGAGAGGCGGTGCTTCACAGTACGGTGAAAACTTTGGATAACTTGCAATCAGACTGTCCTTGGTCAATTGATAACGCTCTATCCTTTATCCTCGACCTCAGATAAGGCCGTCATGTGCTTTAGCATTCCTTGGCCTCATGGCATTCGGACGATCGGCTTCATTCTGAGCATTCGAAGAGCAGACAGAACAGACGCCTACAGATTCGTCCCAGGGATAGTTAGGTGGCCATCAGAATGACCCTCCTGTTCCTCGTTCCTAAACGCACCCGCGAAAGCGGTCATCGATTTGACTTGGATGTCGAAGAGCGTCCTCTTGTTATCAAAGTTAGCGTGCGAGTTAGTAAGTTCAGGCGGTTTTTGAAGGACTCCTTTTCATGGCAGGTTTTGCGCCCTGTACTGGGATATTGTGCCCTGATCTTACTCATCTATTTTGTCTGTTGCTGTGTAGAAGGAAAATGTAACCTAGCTGAGCAGAGGACAGTCTATGAACCGCGTTTTGAGTTGCCCTCAGTTATCTTATGAGTGCCCGGTACTTATTAAATGTGAATCTTCAGATCCAGTCACGGCTGGTTGAAGATCACTATCAAGTAAAATAAAGCGGTTTATCCTATAAACAAAGTTATGAATGATTAACGTCGCGCAGATGGGATGTTTTGGTTTTTAAAGGAAAACATCATTAGATAAAGCAGGCAAAATGCCTGTCATAGAACGCGATCAATCACAGGTATGTGGGAGCTGACGTCATAAAGTGTGTGCACGTGAGTGTGTTGCTCCTAAAACAGGCCGAGCGAGAGATGCACTGGACCAGCACAGGGGCTAGATCGGGTTCCGGCAGGCGTTACTAGCAATGTGCACATTGGGTGTGATGTCAGGACCGTGCGCAGGATCGCGCAGCGCACATTAGGATCTGAGCCATCTCCTTCTATTTATTGTGATAAAGAATCATGTCTAGTGCAAGTTGTGGAGCAGGGGATGTGGTTGCATGTTTAGTTGCGGCTCTACGCCGTGCCAGCCACATGTGTCCAATTCTGCCTCAGTTTTTCTTGACTACGTTTTGACGTCGGGCATAGGTGGGAAAAAGAAAGAGAGTGCTTTAGATGCCGTGCACGTCTACTATCACTATAAAGGAGATCACAGGCAATTCATCGTCGATGCTCTCGCCCGCAAGGGGGAAGGGGCTAGAAAAGATGCCCTAAAGAAATGCTGGAGAACCGCGCTGTCCATAGGCTGGTCGTGGCCGCAGACGTTAAACCCACGGTCGAAACAACCAACAAAGAAATAAAAACAAAACCCTCCCTCTCTTCCTGTCCCTCTTCTCCTCCTCCTCCTCCTCCTCCTCCACCTTCTTCTTCTTCTTCTTCTTCTTCTTCTTCTCCACGCCGCCCCACTTGCCAGACTGGTAGGGTGAGGCCTCTCACAAAGCAGCCAGGAATGTTCGTCCCCTTTTAGACAACCAGAGGAACAACCGATGCCGATGCCTACCGATGCGAAAGAAGGCCACCTGGAGGCATCCTCGGTCGCGTCAGTGGCACCTGCTGAACTATGTCCGCGTTCGGAGGCGAGATCAGCGGGACGTGCTGGTGACGAAGGCGATCGCGGGTGCTGACGGGTGGACCGACCATCGCCTCGTCATCTCGAAGATGCGTATTCGACTACAGCCTCGCAGGAGACCACAAGGTAAACGACCCCCAGGTAAGCTGAATGTTGCCTTGTTGTCCTTGCCCGCTCATCATCTTCATTTCAGCAATGAACTAGCTCAAAGGCTAGACAACCTTCGAATCGCTGCCGCCGCCGACGACGCCGACACCACTGCCGAGAGCGTCTCCGTGGAGAACCGCTGGTGTCAACTGCGAGACACGGTCCAGTCGACGGCGCTCGCCGTCCTCGGTCGCGCTCCCCGCCAACATCAGGACTGGTTCGACGACAACGACGCCGCCATCAGAAATCTGCTTGCTGAGAAGAATCGCCTACACAAAGCCTACGTAGATCACCCCACTGAGGACAACAAAGCTGCCTTCTACCGCAGTCGCCGCCACCTTCAGCAACGAGTGCGCGAGATGCAGGACGCCTGGACCGCTCGCAAAGCTGAGGAGATCCAAGGGTACGCGGACCGCAACGAATGGAAGAACTTCTTCTCCGCGATCAAAGCTGTCTACGGTCCGCCGACGAAGGGCACTGCCCCTCTCCTCAGCGCCGACGGCCGTACCCTCCTGACTAAGAAGACACCAGTTCTACAGCGATGGGCCGAGCATTTCCGAGGCGTCCTCAACCGCCCCTCCGTCATCTCCGACGCCGCCATCGCCCGCTTGCCGCAAGTGGAGACCAACGTGGACCTCAACCTCCCGCCATCTCCCCAGGAGACCATCAGGGCCGTGCAGCAGCTCTTCAGCGGGAAAGCACCCGGTTCGGACGCAATCCCTGCTGAGGTCTACAAGCACGGAGGTCCCCAACTCATGGATCACCTGACTGCGCTCTTCCAGGACATGCTGCGCCAAGGGGAAGTCCCGCAAGATTTCAAAGACGCAACCATCGTGCATCTCTACAAGCGCAAAGGGAATTGCCAAGTCTGCGACAAGCACCGCGGCATCTCCTTGCTGAACATCGCCGGGAAGATCTTCGCTCGCATCCTCCTCAACCGCCTCAATAACAACCAGGAACAGGGCCTTCTGCCGGAAAGCCCATGCGGTTTCCGTCGTCATCGTGGGACCACGGATATGATCTTCGCCGCCCGCCAACTTCAAAAGAAGTGTCAGGAGATGGGGACCCACCTGTACTCTACCTTCGTGGACCTGACGAAAGCCTTCAACACGGGGAATCGTGAAGGACTGTGGAAGATCATGCAGAAATTCGGCTGTCCGGAGCGATTCACTCAGATGGTGCGTCAGCTGCACGACGGTATAATGGCGTGAGTCACTGACAACGGAGCTGTCTCAGAGGCATTCGCCGTGACCAACGGAGTGAAGCAGGGCTGTGTGCTGGCGCCTACCCTCTTCAGTCTTATGTTCTCTGCCATGCTGATGGACGCCTACCGCGACGAACGCCCCGAGATCCGCATCGCCTACAGGACGGACGGTCACCCGATGAATCAACGGCGGATGCACTTCCATTCGCGCGCATCCACAACCACCGTTCACGAACTCCTCTTCGCCGACGACTGCGCCCTGAACACCACCTCGGAAGAGGAGATGCAACGGAGCATGGACCTGTTCTCCGCCGCCCGCGAGAACTTCGGTCTGGTCAGTAACACGCAGAAGACGGTGGTGATGCATCAACCGCCACCCAACACCGCCACTTCCCCCAACGCGCCGCAAATCAGCGTGAATGGGATGCAACTGCAAGTGGTGGAGAACTTCCCGTACCTGGGCAGTACTCTCTCCCGCAACACCAAGATCGACGACGAAGTCGCCAATAGGATCTCGAAAGCCAGTCAAGCCTTCGGTCGCCTCCAAAGTACAGTTTGGAATCGTCATGGTCTCCAACTGAGCACGAAGCTGAAGATGTACAAGGCCGTCAACCTGCCTACGCTACTGTATGGAGCAGAGACTTGGACGGTGTACACAAAGCAGGCACGCCGTCTGAACCACTTCCACCTCATCTGTCTTCGTCGCCTCCTGAGGCTGAACTGGCAGGATCGAATCCCCGACACTGATGTGCTGGAACGGACGGGAATCCTCAGCATCTACACCATGCTGAGACAAATGCAGCTGCGCTGGAGCGGCCATCTGGTGCGTATGAACAACGAGCGACTACCCAAACGACTCTTCTACGGAGACGTCGCCACGGGTTCTCGTCGTCAAGGAGGCCAAATTCGCCGTTACAAGGACACTCCGAAGTCCTCCCTGAAGCGCCTGCAAATCAACCCGACCAACTGCGAAGAGCTCGCACTCGATCGACCGACCTGGAGAAGGACAGTGAAGACAGGCGCTGCGATCTACGAAGCCAATCGCATCGCTGCCGCAAAAGCGAAACGCGAAGCCCGCAAATCACAACTTCGCCCAGTACGCAAGGCTGCCGCACAACCGCTTCCAACGTGTCCTCGGTGTCAACGGACATTCCGGGATCGAATCGGACTTGTCGGACATCTTCGGATCAACTGCGCCTCTCGGACTGCACCAACCATTGTTCCCCCGCCCGCCTCTTCCTCGTCATCTCCGCTGCGAACTAACTCTGACAATTCTTCTGAACCACCACTTCCATCATCCTCCTCCTCCTCCTCCTCCTCCTCCTCCTCCTCCTCCTTCACTGCCCCAACGGCGGCTGCCCAGGCGGCCGTCTCACACATCACCAACCGCGACACAACAGCCGACACCACCCCCACATCTCCAAACTCCAGCGATGAGGATCAGGATTACACCTGCCCTCACTGCGACCGCACCTTCACCTCACGCATCGGCCTGGTCGGTCACTTGCGAATCCATCGCACAGAGACTGGCGAACCAGTGCCTGGAACACCAACCTACACCCACCACGCTCGTCTCAACTGCCCCCACTGCCCTCGCACCTTCAGGCATCGCATGTGTCCCTTCGGCCACATGCGCATCCACGACGACCTGCGGTAGACAATCGCCGGTCACTCCACACATCCACACACCCTCTACCTTCCTCCACCATCACCACCACACATCAACACGCACCCATCGCAAGCACCCAACTGCCACCTACCACGCAAGTGGGAAGTGTGCATCTCGACTCGGTCCCCATGCGGCTTCGGCTGCACGGGTGACTTGAGTCCGAGACTATCCCGACACGTCAAGCGTCGTGGGTAGGAAGGCTGCTGATTGACGCCCGCTCTCGGCTCACGCAGTCCGTCCCGTTGTGTGTGTGTGTTGTGTGGAGTGGCGGACTGGTGGGCTGGGAACGGGCTGAAACAGCACCTTCCACGGCCCTCTCACGCAAGTGGAATACACTCCGATCAACCCCCGTTGTGTGAAATCCTGGTGTTTGTGTGTGTATGGGGGGCCAGGTCGTGCTGTGGCGCGCGCAGTCATGGTCAGTCGACCATGACAGCCACCGCGCCCATTCCCCACTCCAGTCTGCTGATCGGCTCGGACAGCGGCTGGGGTGTGGGAGTGGGAAGGGAGAGTGAGGTCGACGACTCAGCGCACTTTCTCCTCACTATAAACAATCTGACGCGCTTGAAGCTATCACGGTGCACTAAAAGCCGTGGCTTGGAAGGTTGCCAACTGACGGGGTAACTTGGACCTCCTCCTTCACTGGAGGAGGTCTGAGAGTCAGGCTGCAATGGCTCCTTTTTAATGTGGCCTTTATGGCATTCCAACCACAGCGTGGGATCCGAACCAGACGTTGGCGGCACGCCCAGGTGCGGCTTCGGCCGTGCCAGCCTCCAAATCTCTGTTATGTTGGTTGAAATCCTGGTTATTGTTGTGTGGACCAGGGGGTGTGGTGGAACGCCAAGGTGAGGATCCGTCCGAGCCATCCACCTGCGGCCTCCCTCGTCTCCGGTCTTCTTGACTCTGTCTTGACACCGGGCTCAGGCGAGGGAGGAGGAGAGAGTGTAGGTAGATGCAGCGCAAGTCTACTGGCACTATAAACCCCTGCGTAAGTCACCGTCCCTGCTCCCATTGCTGCTGCAACTGTAGGGCACACGGTGGACATTATCGAAATCGATGGTCGAATTGTCGTGTGTGTGTGTGTGTGTGTGTGTGTGTGTGTGTGTGTGTGTGTGTGTGTGTGTGTGTGTGTGTGTGTGTTGTGCCCTCCAAACGGGCCACGTGTTAGATGCGCTGGACCAACACGGGGGCCACATCGGACTTTGGCAGGCGTTATCTGTGCGCAATAACAAATGCCAACATTCCCGGGGTGCGCTGGCGGACCCTGTTGTCGGCATTCGTCGCACAACTGGACCACTGCCTCCACCCCATTGTTTTCTGGTCAAATTCCTGGTCTTGGTGTGTGGACCAGGGGTGCGGAGTGGAGCGCCAAGGCGAAGATCCGTCCGAGCCATCCACCTGCGGCCTCCCCCGTCTCCGGTCTTCTTGACTTGGTCTTGACACCGGGCTCAGGCGGGGGAGGAGGAGAGAGTGTAGGTAGATGCTACGCAAGTCTACTGGCACTATAAACCCCTGCGTAAGTCACCGTCCCTGCTCCCGCAATGCAGTCTGTGGGGCACACGGTGGTCATCGTCGAAATCGACGGACGAACTGTCGTGTGTGTGTGTGTGTGTGTGTGTGTGTGTGAGCGAGAGAGAGGGAGATAGAGAAAGGAAAGAAATTGCACCTTTATTTTTAACTGATAAAAATATTCGGATGAAATATTCTAAACAGCATGGTTGAAAATCTGTTAAAAGCGTACTATTCCTGATTTCCAAGTTCAGCTATTAACGCCAATTTTCCTTTTCCTTCAAATGCATATAAGTAGATGTGACTGGCTGTTTTTATCGATAAATGCGCAAAAATCTATTTGCTCACTTCACTGTGCCAAGGGAAGGTAGTCAGGTTCTTCAACTGAAAATGTAAATGTGTTCGCGAGTGGATGAGGGGAATGGCGGCGCAGATGGCATATCGCGTCTTTCGCTTTAGATAATAGAAATAAGGAAGAGACAAAGAGTGGAGCCAGCCAACCTCCAACAGATAAAAGTCCTGAATGATGAGTGGTTTTGATATCAGTGTGCAGACAGAGTCGTAGTCAGCTGCTAATGGCGAAGGCCAGTAGCAGAGCCGTTCGCATCTACGCAAGCCGCCTGTGTTGAAAAAAAACACGCATTGGAGACGACGGATTGCAAATTCTAAAGGCGGCCAAATTCTCTTACGACTGGCGGTTGCGGATCTCTTCAAAGGAATATAAATACAAAGCTGTAACGATCTTAATCCGGCAGGACAAACAGATTAATCACTCGAAAAATGAGTGCTTGCACGTATGCGATAAATTAAGCCGTTTTTTCTACAAAAATGCAGACAATCACTAACAAGCTCGGCAAAGGGTAAAATAAGAAAACTTAGAATACGATTGATCCTGCGTAAATACGCGTTACATAAAAGGTGATAACGTAGGCGCGACGGCATAAACTACCGAAATCTCGCTGCCATAGTTGCCTCTTTTGTCTTCTTCTTATTTTTCCTATTATTATTATTACTTTTATTATCATCACTATTGCTAATAGTATTACTATTCCCCATCGACTGCAAACAGCGACCGATCTCATAAGATGTCGGCAGAAATTCTGGAATGTGTTTTCGATTAAGATGGATTACTTAGGTGGAATTGTAATACTAATTATCATGCGGCATAATCCCATGTTATTTCGAACTCACCAGGAAAGGCGTATTTTGAATGCACTTCTTTCCAACCTGCAAAAACCGCAATCGCCAAAAATGACTACTTAATTAGTATGCATTTTTCACATTTATTTTCGGAGCCCGCATAAATTCAAACATATTTAGTAGAAAAAATGCACAGAAGTATTCTTCCTTGTACTCATTTGGTAATAAATTGTGTTTTCTTCAAATGTTATACTCAGAGAAAGAATACTTTCCGGTTCTCAAAAAGTTTATAATTATAAGCTTTTTGTGACCGTGCAGTGCCCATTCATATGACATCGTGCCTGTCCGTTTATGAATGCCCCTCATGAAGTACACAATGCATCCCGCATCCATTGCAAAATTTTAAGAGCCTTCCATGGTGTTTTTTTAAAGTCATGGTGGAATACATGATTCCCCTTACGGGGGAAGCACAAATATTGTAGACTGAAATCGCTAAAGGGTAATGTAACGGCTGATCCGGCTCAAAATTATTCGGGAATAAAAACACTTTTTCAAAACCTAAATATACCACTTTCCCGAATAAAATATGAAGACGACGTGAGATGTTAACAAACGAGTAAAGGAAAACATATTTTTATGCATGTTTTCTACCAAATATGTTTGAATTTACAAGGGCTCCGAAAATCAGTGTGAAAAATGAAGTGGTCATTTTTACTGATTGCGGTTTTTTCAGGGGGGCGGAAAGAGGTGCATTCAAAAGACATCATTCTTGCGAGCCCGAAATAACGTGGGACTATGCTACATGATAATTAATATTGCAACCCCTCCTAAGCAATCATTCTTAACTGAAAGTACATTTCAGAATTTCGGCCAAGATTTCATGAGATCGGTTACCGACTTTATCTATCCCTGGAGCGCATCGGCAACTTTAAAATCAAATGCGTGCATATTTTTATGTCACACTTTCTTTTCCACGATGTGTATGCTCGCCATAATACAAACTAACTCGTAGGAACAAACGTTCAAATTTTGAGATGGAGTTGACAAGGCTAGTCAATGCTTCTTTGTGAAAATTATGCTGTGATCAAAAACGCACGTTTGCATGCTTCGTAGGATTTGGAGTAAAATATGGAACCCCCATGGGACAAAATAATGTACTATCCTGAACACATTACTGGAAAGCTGATGAGCGGTCATGTCAGTAAGGTTGATCTACCAGTGGTCAAATAAATAAGACAAATTACTTTTCGGACCATATAACGCGTAGAAGGAACAAAGATTGAATACACGCTTTGTAGCGAAAGCATATTTCGCACAGGGGGCTATATTTTGCACGCAATGGACGAGCTGAATCTTTAAAGCTCACAATCGTTGACAGTCATCGAATGGTGGTGAAAGGGAGTTCACCGATCAGGCTACGGGAAGTGCTCCGTCCCGTTGCGTCATGGGGTCCAATCTAGAGTCGTTGAACGTAAGTAGACAGCATATCCTGCCTTTTATGTTAAATTCTTGTAGACGTGCACCACATCAGGGCGTCAAGCATTCATCAAAAAGCAGCCTTTATGGACGACAAAGATTAGAATCATGGATATACAGTCATAGGATTGTCGTAAGGAAAGGAAGAATACAGGTTAGTGACAAAAGCAGGTAGGGATGAGTTTTACGCGATTTCGAAGGCGGGACCCACTTTGTTGCCGTACGGCTACTCCCTGTTCGTCGATGCCGCTCGATGACCGTTCCATGACAGCACACCGACGAAGGCGCCCTGCGGCAGATAAACTGCCGACGAAGGCTGCGGCTGTGACTGAACTCCGATCAGATTTTAACAATCGCATAACTGAAGTAGGCAAGAACGGCAGGATTTATTGGTACCAAAAATTTCGCGACTGCTCTTCGGCTGCGTCCTGTCGCTTCATAAGAGAGATAACGAGTGAGAACAATACAACAGATTTGAATTCGTGGTTAACCTAACATTGTCGTGGTAGCCTCCAGCTCCATGATTCCCCCTCTCTCCTCTCATTTTTTGCTCTTTAACGTTCCCCTTTTTTCACTTTCTTCCCCTACGGTGTTTGTGTTACTAACTTTATCGATTAGCCAGCTTTGCCCAAAACCCTGACCTTGCTGTTTCTGCATTGATTTTCTGTACGAATTCAAATCTGTTGTATGTTCTCACTCGTTATCTTTCTTATGAAGCGACAGGACGCAGCTGAAGAGCAGTCGCAAAATTTTTTGGTACCAATGAATCCTGCCGTTCTTGCCTACTTCAGCTTCGTACCGGGGACAAAATGCTTCAAATCGCATAACTCTCAGACTGAAACGACTGAAAACCCTGGATTTGA